CACCAGTCATTTATCTTTGGATACCGGTCTGTCGACGTAGATCTTCGACCGCTGCACCCGCTGCCCTCGCAAATACCCTTCATGTGGCAGGTCTTTCAGGAAAATGTCGATCCTATCCTGAAAATTCTTCACATCCCCACCACATCCAAGCTTATACGAGATGTCCGCAAGAACCTGGACACGCTCACAGCGTCCACCGAGACGCTCATGTTTGCCATTTACTATGCTGCCATCACTTCGCTGGACGAAGAAGAGGTGGGTGCGGCGCCTATTGTGTCGTCTCGTTGCTGACAGCCACAGGTTCAACTCAACTTCAACGCCGAGAAGATCGAACTCTTGCGGCGATACAGGTTTGCGCTCGAACAGGCGCTTGCTCGATCCAATTTCATGACGACTCCCGATCTCACCGTGGCACAAGCTCTTTTGCTCTTTCTTGTCTTGGTGCGAAGACACGACGCCACCAGGTTTACCTGGACCATGACGGGCCTCTTGGTCCGAGTAAGTCAGGCGCTGGGGCTCCACCGCGATGGCACAAACTTCCCCCATCTCTCGCCGTTCGAGATCGAGATGCGCCGGCGCCTCTTTTGGGGCGTGTGCGTCCTGGACCTCCGCTCTTCGGAGGACCAGGGAACCGATCTTCTCATCATGGACCATACGTTCGACACAAAGGCACCGCTTAACATCAACGACACCGATATTTCCCCCGAGAGCACCGAGTTGCCAAAGGCGAGAGACGGTCCCACGGACATGACTTTTTCGCTGATCCGATACGACATCTGCCACCTGGGGAGGCGGATGCACATGACGTCGTCTGACATATCGGCCATGGGTGCTCGCGACACGGTGGCGACGATCGAAGAGCGCGAGGCCCTGCTCTCCGATGTCCACAAGCGCGTGGAGAGGCAGTACCTCAAGGATGGCGCCTGCGACAAGAATCCCATGTTCTGGACTGCAGCCAACATTTCGCGCCTTATCGTGGCCAAGATGAGACTGATCATCTACCAGTCCGTCTTGTTTCCCGGACCAGAAAACCAAGTGCTTTCTGAAGATAAGCGCGATCGCCTGTTCAACGCAGCGACGGAGGTGTATGAGTACAGCTACCTCCTCAACACGGATCCGCGGTGCAAGCAATGGCGCTGGCTCTTCCAGACGTACACGCAGCTCCACGCCGCAGCCTACGGCCTGATCGAGATGTGCCACCGGGAATGGAGCGCTACGGTGGAGCGCTCTTGGGCCGCGCTCAATCTTGTCTTTTCGGATACGAATCCGAGTCTGCCCCAATTTGACCTTCAGAAAATGACGGAACATTCAGCCGTCTGGCTCCCGCTGAGGAAGCTATACATGATGGCCAAGAAGCATCGGGAGGCGGAAATTGCACGGCTCCGAGCCGACCCCGCGGCAGCCCAACGATTGGAACTCGAAGACCGGGCCAAAGTCCCGCCGGGGATAGTTAACGGACAGTCCACGACGATGAGAGATGCGCTTGCGGCGGAACATTGGCGGAAGCTCGTCAACGCCCCGCCCCTTCCGCCAGACGCTCCGGCTCCAAGGCAGTCGGACGAGGAAGCCGTGCCCCCGACGCCGCCGGCCCAAGTGCACGAAAATCCGCCTCTCGGTGCTGGCACCCCGGGTCCCGAGCCGGGGCCTGAGCACGATGTCAAGCCTGAATTCATGGAGTATCTAGACGCCACTCTTTCCCGTCCGGACTTCAACACGAGCATGCTTGTTCCTCTCTGGAGCAAGATACCTCACACCATGCTGAACCAGAACCCGGACATTTATGCCATGGCGAGCAGCATACCCCCAAGTGACAATATTCCGTACGCCTCGACGCCGATGCAATCTTTCGGCAACGTCCCGGCACCAACAGTGCATTCCAATCAGCAGCAGCAGCAGCAGCAGCAGCAGCACGACCCCTTGCGTCAGTTGGGAAACATGACGACGTCTCCACTGCGGGATCATAGAGACCTCCCACCGTGGATGTGGCCGGATAACGGGCTGAGTGTCGCCTCCAACATGGCGGTTGAGGAGCTCGATGTCAACATGGACGAGGGATTTGACTGGCAGAATTGGCAGGAGAGCTTGGGCAGGTTTGAGCTCGAGACGAATGTTGGAACACACAGCTCAGCGTGGGGGCCGGGGATATGATGAGCACGGATGGAGGTGGAGGTGGAGGTCTTGGTAATGATAATGAAGGGGACGTTGGTTGCGCAGCGTTGATTCTTGAAAGCGCCATTGCTGGAGTTGTAGAAGACGGCGGTATTGATACCCAGCGGTTTGCCAGAAGATTATAGACAGACAGACATCCTTACGGAGTAAAATAACGATGTACGGATACTCATTGGCACATGCTGGCTTGTCGGTGATGATGGATGACATCCAACTGTCTTTTTCCACGAATGACGCTCCGCTGTTGCAATGCCCTCAGCCCCTGGTTGAGCTCCCCTGCCAAGGTGTGCGGGGCGAGGATGATCGCGATTGCCGAGGCCCGAGAGGACGAGGGCGAGATCAGTCTCGATTCCATCCATGTTTTCCCCTCTTCAACCCTTCATCCAACTTCATCCAACACATCGAGACCGCCGACACCCATCCTCATATCACCAAAAGGCGAAGCAGTGCCCGTGGCGCAGCCGTCGCGCACACTGCCATGTCATCTCTCAAGCTCGGAGTGCCCTGCGTCACGAGTGTTGTCGCGCGACGGCGATGGTGAAACCCGCCAATGATCTCCGCCGGAACCAAATCCAACGCCATCCCCAAAAGCCTCAACTCCGGGGAACGTTGCAGCCGCCTGGAATGCCGAAACCCCAGCGCAACACAGGACACGGGCTCGACTGTTGACCGTCTCCCAAAGCCCTCTTGGCTCCGGCAGACCAAGGCTGCCGCCCCTGGCAGATGTCACGTCAATTACTCACCCTGAGCCATTCTGCCGGGCAGAGGGCAGTCGCGGATCCGGGTAGGTTGAATCGCAATATGTTGCTACTCAAACCACGTCTTCATTCCCGTCGATTTAGCCTGGCGATGGGGGGAAGCCACCCAAGCACGCTGCAAAATCGACGTTGCCATCCACAGGCAATATACGACAACAAGGATGCCGTCGGGAATTCCTCCCACGCCGCCGGTCCGCACCCGGGGCCGGGCTTTTTGGACGTTGTGTTGGTGCGGGGAGACACCGTTGGGGTTTATAACCACAACGATGTCGCCCGCCCGCTCGCCGTCGCCGTCGCCTGGTCTCTTAGCTATTCCTTGGTGTTTCGCTGATCACCCACTGATCTGAAGCAACCAGCTGGCGGCTATCTAAACCGTTCTTCGTTGAACCCCGTCCCCGTCCCGGACCTCCTGATCGCCCTTGGCCAACCGTGACATCCGGGGTACCGACCGTGACAGACGCCAAACCCGCCGCAGCAGCTGCACCACGTTACAGCAGCACGACGTCTGCCGACATCAGTCGCGTACAACTACCCCGTAGCTCCTGACGACGCTCGTCAAACGGGCTACCGATCTACCTACCTCGGGATATATAGAAGGCGCTACCATCCCCGCGCCTCGAAACTCGAGCTTTGCTCAACCTCCAGCACAACAACGACGTCACAGACAGAAATCCATCACCAACCACCCAAAATGAAACCAACAACAGCATCCCTCCTCCTCCTCGCAGGAACCCCCCTCTCCCTCGCGGCCCCAGCACGCGACCAAGTCGTCCTCGGCCACGACAACAACAGCATCCCAACCAGCACCCGCGCAACCACCACCCTCACATCATTCACCACCGTCCCCACCATCACCACCACCCGGCCTCGGACCCGAACGACGCCCACGCCGCTGTGGATGATGACGACACGGACAAGACCACACACGAAGGCTGCACCGGCATCAACACCCGCACCGACATCCACATCCACATCCACCCCCACACCAGCACCGGAACCGATCGGCAAGGCAGTATGGGACTGGCTGTTCCACCCGCAGCCACCGAACCGGTCCGTCAGGCCAAAGGGCGAGGGGTGCTTCTGCGCAGGGGGTTCGACGTGCTGCTACCGGCCGAATGAGGAGATTGTCTGCGGGCTTGGGACTTGCTGAGGGGGGCTTGCAGCTGGACTTTGCCGCGGGATCGGGTTCGAACGGGTGGAGGTGCGGTGCTCGGCGGAACTTGCCTGATCGTGCCCGCGGGGAGCCGATGCTCGGACCGGCCTTGGGGTGGGGTGGGGCTACATATTACACGCAAGGGCATCATGATGACGGCGTTGATGGTATACTTGCAGACGGTGAAACGAGGGGCAACGCACAAGTTAGCCCACGAGCATCGAATGCTCCGATGCGCGGGGCCAGACGCGAATTACCGAGTGGGGGGGGAGGGTGCCAGGTGCCAGTCGGTCGGGTCTGGGATGGAGCCGCGGGGCCAAAATGCGGTGGGGGGGGGGAGGGGAGGGGGGAAGAGTGGTGTCAGTGGATGGGGACCGACATGTTTGGCAGCAGGATGGAAGAATTGATACCCAGGATGAAGATATTGAGACGGTGGCTTGGGGGACGAGGGGGGGAGCATAAGGATAGAATACACTTGGACGGCGAAAATGACACTGCTTTTCCAGACCCGTGCCACCCCCCTGAAGTTGACAAGCTATGTCAGTGTTGATGCCCGTGTGGTGAGCAGTTCAGTGCCCCTCAAGGCAGCTGTTGGCAGTGCCGAGCATCGGTGCTCGGCCCGATGCTCGGCACCGCAGGGGGGAAGACGATCGCATTCACATGGATGTAAGAACTTTCGAGGCCGACACTCAAAGTTCTTTGCAAGATGGCGGCTGAGGCCAGCTGGAGAGCGAGGTGGTCATGTCATATCAGCGTCATCACTCACGCAAGAGTCTCCGAGCTCGTCGAGTCCTGGGGAGGGGGACGAGTCCAAGCTTTGGCCATTCCCGGAGTATAAATACCTGACCTCCCCCCCTTCCAGTCCCTCTCCTCTTCTCCTTCTCTTCACCCTCAGTCTTCCATGGCTGTCGGTCACCAACGGGGGAGTAGCTCAGCGGAAGAGCACAGCGAATTTGCCTTTATTTTGGTTTTCATCCTGTGGCAGTCAGCGAATCGAACACCTAAAATATGGTTGGCACCATTCCTGAGGTCCTGGGTTCAAACCCCAGTTCTCCCAACACACACTTGAGCCTGGGCTCGATGGACTTTTTGGTCTGTCGAGTCCAGGCTCTTCCTTTTTCGTGGTGTTGCACAGTGCGAGGTGGCACTGTGTCTGCCAATCGGGCTTCCTCCGCACTGTGTTCTCTCTGCATGCCACTCACTCGGAGAATTTGCGGTGCGGACGGGTGAAGGCGGATGAGGATTGGAGCGCGAGGCAGAGGCGGGGGAGATGAAAGGGGTTTTCCGTCGTCATTTGGTCATTCAACCGGCTACGGTCCGGAGGCGCTGGCAATACACAGGGTGGAAGCGCTCGCGATGTGGCAGCCCGGTGGTGTTGAGGGACAGAGAGGAGGAAATAAGGCCGTCCCCCCTCCCAGCATCCATTTCACACGCTGCAGCGAACGCATGAATCGGAATGCAGCCGTGTGTGACAGAAGGCGGAATTTAGAGAGAACACGTAGGCACGAGAGTATCGACTCCTTTTGTTTCTCCGACGATGAGTCTGGTAGGGCTGCGGTGGCACGGTGATGACGGCGGGGGTTGTCCCGGTGAAGTCCATCCAATGTGCCCCCAGCGATGGATGGCGCGGTTCTCGAGGGAAACATATCACTGAGCAGCAGGAAAGAGGCACCAAAAGAAAAATACAGAGGGAGAGAGGTCACTTCTGGCCAGACTGGAAGTCCAAGAAAGAGACCAATCGAAGCCGAATGGAAACTGTCCGTCGATGGGATCTCTCTGGCCGTTCGAAATGACAGGGGCGCCCCGTGGCAGCACGGCACAGGCCAGCGCTAGAAGGCTTCCAGAAGCCATCACAGACCGTCGGCTGCAGGGTGACAGGGTCAGGGCTGCGGCGTTGCGGATCAGACCGGCCTTTCCGGGGTCGAAACGGCAGAGGAGGAAGAGGTAGCGGTGACCGCTGTGGCCAGGTCGCCGGCGGGAAATGCTGTCCTTTCGGAGGGGAGCCGGTACCGGTACCTGCGGGAGGCAGGCGAGGATGAAACGAGGCGGGGGGCCGGGGCACATGGCAGGTCCTTGACACGACACACGAGCAAGAGACCTATGGTTGTCGTTGCTGAGTTTGGTACGATATCAGATGAAGGGAGGTAGACGGCCTTTTACGAGGTTGGGCTATAGGTGGGAATTTACCGTTGTTGTAGCGGTGAGAGGCGAGAGAGGGTGGTTTTGGTGTCGAGGCGGTCATGGCGGCGGGGTCCCCGTTGTGATGGTGGGGTCGACGGGAGCAACAGGGGCTCTTCTCACTCCAGTGACCACACCTCCATCCTTCTCTCCAGTCTCCATCCTTTTCGCTGTTGCGCATGACAACCCATGGAAGCTCAAGGCACCTCAGCTTCAGGAGACGATGCGGTACAGGAATATACACCGCCCGTCAACACATTGGGCCCCATACCTATCAGAGGTACGTATGTCGGTTCCAATTCTGGTTTTCCATGGTCCACGATGAGGGGAGGGCAAGGGGAGGGCAGCCCCTCACTCTTCGTCCATCCATGCTCGATGCCCCTGACCTGTGCCCTGAATGCAACACCAGGAAACAGTCAAGCAGCTGCTCTGTTTCCAGCAATACACAGTAGGTAAAGTCATCAAATAGAGACCTTGGACAGCTTGGGAGGTACAGACGGGAACGATTCTCTCAAGCTTCTCTGCAGAAGAGCCCGCCTGGCCCGTGCCCCGCAATGAGCTAATTTGGAGCTACCACGTCGCTTGGCGCTGCAAGGACGCACCCCAGTGCCCAGTGCTCCCTCAGTGCTGAGTGCTCACTCCTCAGCAACCAAACCCAAGCTCCTTCTCAATTCATCTTGCTGCGTCGCGCCCTTCCATTGCCCTGCGTGACCAGTCCCTTCTCCCTTCAGCTCTGCTCGAGCACGAGGGTCCGTCTTCACACACACGTCAAACATTTCTCAGCAGTAGCCCGTTACACCCCCCGACCTGGGGATTTGCAGACGACGTCCAGATCAAGATCATCTGCTGGGTACTGCTGCACCTGCATGCGGGCCAGACCCCATTTGCCGTGTGCAAAGCCGACAGCAGACAGCCGTCGCCATCGCAAACAACCACTGGACCTACGGTACAGCGCACCTTGCCAGCCTCCAGCGACCCGCGACAACTCTTTTGGGCCTCTTCTCCCCGCACCATGACCAGGGACTGCCACGGGCCCAGCTGCTGTTTGTCCAACCTGGCCGCCTCCCGTCGGTGGATGCCATTGCCCTGACGCACTGAGGGTCCTGGATGCCAGTTTGAACTTTTGGATGGTGTACTGCGTACGGGTGACGAGATCGGCCCCGCCTTGTTGCAGACAAGCAAGACATTGGCACTTCAGCTCCAGTCCTCCTCCCTCCTCAGTCTCCTCCTCAGTCCTCCTCCGTCCCGGCGTCGGCCCCTTTCCACACTCCCCCGTCTGCCGCCTGCGTCTGCGCCCGCCCCCGGTGCGTCGAGCCCTTTCGCCTTGCAACAACCGCTGCTCCCGACTCCCGAGAGCTACCGTCGCCATTATTACCTACCCCACATCTTGGTATTTCGAATTCGTCTCTCCCGCGCGCGCCGCCTTGTCGCGACGGCACTCGCTCGCTCGCGTTTCACCCCCTCTGTGCCCCTTGTAAGCGATCCCGGAGACCAGTCGCGAGGGACAGGAGCGACGACGCTGACCAGCCTGTCGCCCCAGAGAACAGAACCCAACCCCTCTTCCTCGAACCTTTGGACTCGCAGCTCGGTCGAACCAAGATCCAAGTCCTCCCTGTCCAACGTTGCGCCAGTGCCCCTCGCGACAGCTTCTAGAAACAATCGCGACAACAAACGCCCCGAAGACACATCGCACGCGCCAACCAATCCACGCCTTGCGGGCCACTGCCATTCCCACCCCGAGCCACCAACGACGGCCATTTCCCCTACCCAGCTGCGACACGAGACGTACCTTCTCCAACTTTCCCCCGACCCGAGGATCCCGTGGGGAGGACGGGCGTACGAAGCTCGGACAAGGAGAAAAAAAGAGACAGAAAAAGGCATTGGGGTGTCCTTCTCCAAGCCGGCCGTTCGATCGGTTCCTGAGCTCAGAGTGCGGAGAAGTCGAGAAGTCGCGGGTTGGCTATAGCATGAAGCGTCTCCGCCTAATTTGGATCTAACCGGCCCCTCCGCAATATACGGGATTGCGGGACGCGAGACGTCATTCCTCAAACGGCAATAAATCTGGAGAGCCGGATTGGAATATCGGAACCTCCCAAATAGCGTCGCCAGGCACAGACAGAGCTATCCGGCGTCCGGGGGGGCTTCTCCCGCCCCTTCGCTGCCCACCATGCGGCGGAACCGCACTCCGCCCCCGCCGACCTCCCCCTTCCGGGCCCTGGCCCACCACTCGGCGGGAGGCCAGGCGGGACAGCAGCAGGGCCACGCTTCCGTGTCGTCCCTGATCAGGTCGTTCAATGTCGAGGAGAACCCGACGCGGCCCATGCGCCCCTCCCCGCTGACGGCCTCGACCATCCGCGACATGCCGCTGGACCTGGTCGACCGCATCCGCTCCTTTCCCCTCTTCATGTCAGCCCCCGAGGACTTCCTTGTCGCCATCGGCGCCCACTTGCGCCCCCAGATCCACTCGGCCCACGACCACATCCTCACTGAGGGAGACGACGCCAAAGCAATGTACTGGCTGGTCCGCGGCGTCGTCGCCGTCACGTCGCGCGATGGCGAGGCTGTCTACGCCGAGCTCAAGCCCGGCGCCTTCTTTGGCGAGATTGGCATCCTGATGAACATGCCCCGGACGGCTACCATCGTGGCGCGGACAAAATGCCTCCTGGTCGTTTTGAAGAAGGAAGACCTGCAGGCCGAGCTTCCCAAGTTCCCCGAGATGGAAAAGGACATTCGCGACGAGGCGCGCGAGCGGCTCGCCATCCTCAACAAGAAGCGCCAGGAGAACGGGCAATCCGACATCCTGATGGACAAGAGCGGCGCCAAGGTCGCACGCGAGGCCGCGCCGGGGGAGGTGAGCACGGGCGAGACGGGCGTCATCAAGGAGGGGCTTGCTGTCAACACCAAGAAGCGCAAGTCGCCAAGTCCGGATGCCATTGAGGATCCCATCAGCGGGAGCGCGCTGGCCAGCGGATACGTCAACATCCGCAACACGCTCAAGGAGCTGCCCCTCTTCTCGACGCTCCCGCCCGACGCCCTCCACCTCCTCGGCCTCAGCGCCCAGCCAAAGACGTACCAGCCCTTCACCGACATCATCCGGCAGGGCACCCCCGGAAACGAGATTTACTTTATCGTCCGCGGCCAGGTCGAGGTGATCCACAGGATGCCCAGCCCCCCGAACCCGAATCGACCGCTGCAGTCCCCGTATATTCGTCCAAGATTGAAGCAGGGGCAATACTTTGGCGAGGTGTCGAGCCTGGGGCTCTCGGAAGGGAGGACTGCCACGGTGCGGTCCATCACAGTGGTCGAGTGCTTGGTGGTGGGAGGGGAGGCGCTAGAGGAGCTCTGGAAGCGGTGTCCTCCCGAGATAAAGAACCAGGTCGAGGAGACGGCCAAGCAACGATATCAGCTGGCTGAGGAAGACGTAGAGATGTCGGATGAGATGGACGCCGAAAGCCATGCCCTTTCAGATGAAGATGACCCGCCAGCGAAAGCAGCGACCGTTCAGAGCCCCATTCCCCAAGTCACCTTTACGACACCCTCGATCCCCCCCTCGCCGACGAAACCGACAGCGGAGACGCACCAGCCATCCGATCCCGACCCGTACCTCAGTATGGATATGGAAAATCTTCGAAACCGCAGACGCAACTCCCTCGCCCCGCCAACCCCCCAGTCGATCATATCGTCGGCCCTCGTCAGCCCTACCAAGCCAGGCGAGCCCAACTCGGTCAAGCTCTTTGTACCTTCACCATCATCTCGACGAGACGACTCTCCCGTTCCGACCAAGCGCGCACGGATCCACACCAAGATGCAAGACACTTCGGAGAGGCCAGAGCTATCTGAGCGGCTCATGGTGGCCATCTTCAAGCACTTGGACCTCGA